TAATGTCACGAGTTGGCACGGCGCCTAGCCGTTTTTAATTTTTCCTTTTCGCGGGCTCGAACCCGCGACCTCTGTACTACCTGCCTGATATGGACGCATCACTATCTACTGTACGATTAGATTAGATGGGGCGGCAGCGCACGGCACAGCTCGGGCCCCGCTGACACAGCCGCTCTGACTCACCGGCCCCCGGGGCCGCGTCGGCATGCTGCGCACAGACCAGCTGCGCACGGACCAACATGCACAGCCTGCCCTAATCTCCCCATGTATATAAGCCGGCCTCTGCTGCCCTAGGGACCTCAGTTTCGACCTCTTGTCCCTAGGTCAGTAAGCCCCCCTTTGTATTCCTTTCTTACTTAACTAACTAATATACTATCTTGTCCCTAGCCTTAGGTTTGAGCGCTGCTCACCATCGCTTCGGTGAGATTTAGTCGGACGCCCCCAGCTTTCAGATCTTCCCCTGTCGCTTGACCTCAAGTCGCGACAGTGAGGACAAGTACCGCCCACTGAAGTGCAGGTACTGAAGAGTTTGTTCCCTTAGTGTTGGTGATGTATGTATGCTATCTAGGTATTGTAGGGTACAGTAAGGGTGCGCACCACCTGACCTATAGGAAAGAAAAGTGTGAGTGTATGTGTTCCGAGGAACGCCGGCCGCTATGGGAGTTTCGATCTAATGTCGCGACTTGAGGTCAAGTGACAGGGGAAGATCTGAAAGTGGGGGGTGTTTGACTGGTTCTCACCGAAGCAATGGTGAGCGATGCTCAAACCTAAGGCTAGGGACAAGTGAATATATTAGTTAAGGTAAGAAAGAATACAAGAGAGGCTTACTGATCTAGGGACAAGAGGTCGAAACTGAGGTCCCTAGGGCAGCAGAGGCCGGCTTATATACATGGGGAGATAAGGGCAGGCTGTGCACACTGGTCCGTGCACAGCTGGTCCGTGCACAGCATGCTGGCGCGGCCCCGGGGGCCGGTGAGTCAGAGCGGCTGTGTCAGCAGAGCCCGAGCTGTGCCATGCACTGCCATCCTATCTAATCTAATCTATTTACAGGAAATGTGATGTGCCAACAAGGCTTGTCCATTCGAGCACAGAGCATATGGTACAGAGGTTGTCGGTTCAAGCCCACAGAAAGGAAAAAATGAAAAAAACAGCTAGACACCGTGTCAACTCATGACACTCAATGTCATTATGTATGAGCAGACATATTATATTGTCAGGGGCTATTTGAGGAGCATCATCCATGGCGATCACTTGACTGTAACTACCATTCAAATGTATCACATTTTGACAGTAGCTACAGTCAGATTATGTATAATTACGACAGGGTTGCCTGCTGTCGAAGCTTGGATCAGCTACAATTGTTGTTCAGTTCGTGGGCTTCACCGAGGATCACAGCAGGAGATGGATTTGCTATCAGCGGAGCACTGCTTAGAGTTACAACGTACTCAACGTGAATAGTCATTGGACCCCGCTCCCAAGGACAGCAGAATGACGATGTATTCATCTATCATGCCAGACAGAACAAATGTTCTACAATCGTAACAATCAAACCTTTGCAGAAAGTGCCATCAAGGACAGGAACAGGAACCGCGCCGCGCCAGGCGTGATAGTCGGGGCAAACATCGTCACCAGCGAGAAAACCGTCCGACTCGTGTCAACCATCCTCGTACGCATCCACCACGGTGTCGATACGCTCAACCACACGAACACCCACACATATTCAAGCGCGTGCGCTAGGCTATCCGGGCACTGCGCCTGCATACCGGTGCGCTTCGCTACGCCAATGACCGCATCCTCGAGCGAGATGGCCACGGCCTGGGCGATGAAGAACGGGAACGACACGCCGAACAGCTTTGGGCTAACCATGATGTCGCCACCGCAGTGTATCAGGCCTGACACCGCGAAGCCGACATACAGCTGCGTGTAAGACGACGCCCAGGATCCCTGGCGTAGTCCCAGCAGGCGGCAGCACGCCTTGCCCATCGACGCGGCGTACTGCGTACATCACATCATATGGCTATGGCTATCAGCGGACTGAAGAAGGCGAGCGTGCGAAGGGCGTACGTACACGGCGTAGCGACTGATGGTAGGTGCGCCTGCGCAAAGACGTGTGTATGAGCGTCTGCCATATCTTGAACGCCCTAGGCCAGTAGTGACTGAGAACTCACCCCCAGAACCACCGCAGCGTGTAAGCGTCGGCCCACTCTCCGTACATGGCAGGCCAGTCCCTGGGCATTGACCAGGCAGTGGCGACAGACACCGCGGAGAATAGACGATAGGGCATGTCGATCATCCCATACGCTGGGGAGAACCACGCGACGATGTTCACACATCGCTGAATGTAGCCTTGGGAGCTCAAGGAGAACAGGCCGGCGTCATGATGGGAGAACGAAGGATTGGAGCGCTGGTAGGTCTGTGCGAGGTCGACGGGCAGGTACCATCTGAGTGCGTACAGCAGCTGCTGGCGCACGAACGACCAGCGTGGTTCGCTAGGACGAGGAGGTACGTTTGCGATCTGGAGCGAAGCGAATTGGGTGGCGCATGAGCATTGGAAGTGCAGGAATATGAAGCCGCGTACACCTGGCAATTCCATCCTACCCCGCGTGGGCCAGTGATAACGCATAATGCCCAATACATCCGGCGCAGGAACGGCATTGCTGGAGGTGCAATGTGGTCGCGCTCGTGGCGCAGGTCGTTCAAGGGGTCTGTAAGCAATAGGAGGTGAAATGCGGTGAAGAAGTGCACTACAAAGGAGGAGCCAAGAGCGTAATTCTGCTGAAGATCTCCGGTGGTACTGGTGAGTACCAGTCCGAGACTGTAGGTGTATATTGCGAATGCCGCTAGCTTGATAGTCCCTTTCGGGCGGAGGGCAATGAGTGCTGACAGGACAGCATTCTGCAGCAGGGCAGTACTGGCAGTCTGGAGCGATTGTCAACGCTCATGATGGCGCTGTCAAGGACTCGAGGATGATACAGACTCTAGCAAGGCAGGCTATTGCACGGGTTGATACGCCTGCGAGACGGAGCCAGAGTATTATATTTGTGACCCCACGCATGCGCTAAGACCCATTCCAGGTCCTCTGATCTTTAGCCAAGGTAGTCCGCGAGACGGAACAGGTTGACCTAAACCCTGCAGTCCTCCGCTATAATTGGTAAATTCTTTGGAAGGGTTGCCCGTCCTCGTCTTGCATGCAGGCACGCACATGAGCAGGCCTCGGCCATTCGATTAGGGCTAGCGGAGCCGCCAATATCAACCAAATTCTCCGGGAGAGGCCTATCAATTAGTGACAACACGTAAACGACAACTTACAACTCACTCTGTTTATGGGATTGTGCGGTTGGCATGAGTGCGCTTCGGCCAAATTTACTCATGTTACTCAGCGGTCGTGACCGATGAACAAGCACCATTCAGTTCGTCGTCCAATAACGCGCTAACTGAGTGACATGCTTCCCCTGAACTCGCGACTGGCATGTGCATGATCCGTAATTATATGAGAGGTGAGGGGTAGCTTATCACGTTCAGGTACTGCTGTCAGCAGTATTGAGTAGTCTCCTGAGAGCAGAGTAGACAATTCCATCAACCTACGCCCATGTCTGACGTCTGCTTTCCAGCGCGCTGTCTTACGGTAAGGTCGGTATCGATGGCCTATGGCCGTGTTCCCATCACCCGGCATATCACGCATGTGTACAAATAGAGGCAAGCAACGCGTATCCCGGTGTACCCCGGATGCGTCGCGCTGGGATGTTGAGCGAGGTCTTATTCTCGGTGCTCTAGAAAAAGTTCTCCCCGTCTGCCATCATGTACTTATGGTCTGCTATTTAAGATAAATACATGTCTCATATTGTTATCTATGATAATCTGTCGACCAGCTAGCTGCGAGGCTATCGCATAACTGGCAGCGCGAGGGTGCTCGAAAAGTATATGCCTAGCTCTGAGGTGTTCACAGCAAGGGCTGTTGTTTCATGAACGATAGCGCAGCGACTAAGAGGCGAGATAGTCAAGAGCAAGTACGCAAACTCACGCGCGCCGCACGGCAGGTGCGATCAGAATATTGGTCCTCCGCCGCTTGCTTGCACTCATATTTAGAGCGCTGCCCCCAAAAAACTGACCTCACAGTAAGGAGACGCGTTGGAAAGTAGACTAGTATTGAGGCGCTTCTTGCACAATTGGTGATGGGGAACTTTCGATAGTGTCCGGTGAGCTCTTCCGAGCTTCTCAACATGATGATATCGATAACTTACGCCCACATTGATAAATAATTTCATGAAAGATGAGGCACATCATCACATCTGAGTGCTGTTGAAGGACGACCTTAGCACATCTGATACATCAAACGAGCCACCTTGTCAGCGTAGGTTGCACCGCAGTATTGCCTATAGTCCACCCGCTGACATGCCTGCCTTGAGTTTCCGTCGCATCTAGATCGTCCACGGTTGCCCGGTGGGTGATGCTGATGACCCGCGGCTGCACAAGCAATATTAACATTACTTGAACAGGCATTGTCCTGGGACCTGAACGCATGACTCACCATCCAACAATAGGAAGACATACCCTCCTTGCTGTTCCGCCTGTCAAGCGCTCTCTCAGCGCTTGCCCTGATGGGCTTCTATGTTGCTGTGTGCGAAGCATGATGAACAGGCTTGCGTGTTTCACCGAGTCAGCTTCATCAGGTAAATCGGAAAAGAGCATGATACGCATGTCCTAATCATATGTGATAGCTTGCGGCAGGTCCCAAATCTGACACTGTGACGTTCACGTTGGCCCCCGGAACTGCACCAATAGTGCGAGTATGGATGGGGAATTGCGCTTGCCTTACTCGTTGTCAGATCCTACATATTGACCCCCCGCACCACAGAGTAGAAGATAACCACATGACCATGAGTACCTCAGTCTCTATCCCGCCCGACATTGTCGCCTTCGTCTCTGCCTCCACACCCACTCTCAAGAATCTAACTATCAGCGCCGTATGGCTTGGTGTATCCATCCCTCTTCTTATTGTTCTTTTCTTCTTCTCTACAGAGAAACTGCGCAGGAAACCAATTTTTATCCTCAATGCCATTTCCATTTCAGTGGGGATTATCATGGGGCTTCTGAATGTCGTTCTATTGGTGAAGTTCCTCCTCACTGTTCAGATGTGAGGTTATATTTACGCAGAATTGCCTCAACTAGTTCACGTCTGTGACTCGTCCCAATTCTCCTCTCAACGACGCCTCACTTATAGCATACATTGTCCTCCTCGCTTTCATCCCATTTCTCATCGAGAGCATCCTCGTCATGAGGCTTATTGCGGTCTATCCACCTCGCAGAACAACGACGAAGGTTTTGCTAGCGATCTTTGTGCCCATTGCATTGCTCAAATCTGGAAGACTAGCGAACCTCGTCCTCTGGGTACACCGCTATTCGATCCTCATCAGGACAGCTAACTACACTGAGTTGGCGGTGTTGTCTGAGGGTCTGCCAGAAGCAACTGTCGAGTGGACCTTGCAAGTGGTGGATAACGCGTATGTCTTACGAATATGTTTTTGGCGATGATTCTGAGTACTCTATCATCCAGCACATCTTCGAGTTTGTTCCTTTGGCGCCTTTACAAAAATGCACGGCTCCCAGCAGGCCTCAGCCGGAATAATGGTAAATGTAAGTACTCATCGTCATTTTCTGCCAAAACTCACGGTCTGAAAACAATGTAAGCCTCCTACGCATCTCAGTTGAAGGGACTCTTCTGGATCAGCGTATCCAATTTCGTCTTTCCATGTTTATTCTCCATCACCCTCCTTGGGTTAAGTCATTCCGCATCCCACTACCAAGATCTATTCGAGGTTTTGCTCTCAAGCGTCTACGTGCAAGCCATCGGAGTATTACTAGCTACCGTGTGGGCAGCCAGTAGCCACTGGGATGATGGGTCGCAGACGCTCCACGGATCATCCCAGGTGTCGATGAGGTTCGCCACAAATTCGGATATCGATACGACACGCCAGGACACCGTGACTAGCGGAAATACGATGCGGCTGGGGGTCGTTCCGGACGAGATTATACTACATTCGTTCAAGTCTTCCGACGATACGGATATAGAGGACAATAAGCAGTAGCGGTTTAGTAGGACCATAGTGCAGCGACCTCTTGTAACGCAGGGTCAGTGGATTCTGATTGCTGCAGGTGCTCTCGACAAAATACTGTACAAATATACGATCACGTTTTACTGTAGCGAAGTACGCAGAACAGTCCTCTCTTCTAAGGTTTCGCAGGCGGCTCAAAAGCAGAAGTTATGTTCTCGATTCCGTGTGTATGAAACTCATTTCATTAGGTACACGTAAAGTATATCCCAGCGCTGGCCCACGAGTGAAGCAACCCGCGCTCGCAGTCGTCGAGTGCATCAGTATTTACGACCACAATAAGTAGCGACTGACATCCGCTGAAGTCCACATTCATACGAGCGGCTAAAAGGAGAGTCGGATCATGCATACATCTCCGCGCCGACAACAGCGTCCAGTATTTGCGATCTGGATTCCAAAGAATCGACTAGGGTATATCAATGAATACCGAGTACTGTACATGCAAGGAGTGGAGTTGAATGCCTGACATCTACCGGCGTGTGAACACAAGAGGAATTTGGTTGGCGGCTCTGTAAACACAATTACATGACAAATTTCAGGAGACCAGGGCTGTTGCTCACGTCAGGGTCAGCTTGATGTTGGCGGTGAAGATTCGTTGCTTTTTCTCCTCAAAGGTCTCATGCGCGTACCGAGGGTCTTCTTTAATCGAGACTTTGTATCTTGAAATTATGAGGCTGAGAATGGCGACAGCCTCGGTCTCAAAAAACTTTCTGCCGATACACGACCGAGACCCTGTCACGTAGACAGTAGCAGTCCTCAGTTTCTGCAGTGCGCCGCGTACAGACAACTCACCGCTGCTGAATGGTATGAACGCTTCACGTGGGTAGTCAGCAAGAAACCGAGACGGGTTGAAGACATGTGGATCTTTCCAATATCGTGCTACAGCCAACGTATTCATCAGCGATGCAGTAGGAAATAGCTAGTATCTGCGCACGATTGTAATGAACTCCCGTGATATGGAGGAAAATCTTCGTATTCTTTGGCACCGGTACAAGCTTCTTCGATCCGGAAGCGTTGGTGACCGTGATGACCGTGTCCTCGGCGCAGTATTTTGGTGATGCATTGACCTTCAGGCAGCTAAGTGAGGGTGTGGGTATGCAATGCTAGTTTCTGTCCTACCGGAGGATACATGCGAAGCGTCTCGTTGATGACCGCCAGGGAATATGCGAGTAAGTGGATGTCTTCATATCTCTACCAGGACATGGTCGGTACACACGAGGAAGTGACTTTGCAGTTGACTCACCGGAAGTTCCCCGTTAGGCATTACTTGCTTGATCTGTTGGTACAATGCTTTTTGTTCGTCTGGATGGATACTAAGCGCAGCCAGTGCGAAGGCAAGTGCTTGAGAGCTAGCCTGGAGCCGATATGACTTTCGTAGCATCTAGGATTCGCATCGTTGCTTACCTCATGCCCTCCCAGAAGGAAAATGAAGACATTTGCTGCGTGCAGTCAAAGTTTATGGCCCATGCAGGACGTTTTCTAGACGTACCTATAAGTTCTTCATCTGTCAACGGTTTCTCGCCCTTTATCTCGGAGTCTCCATTAGCTTCGAGAAGGTTATTCAATAGATCTGGACGCCCTTCCTCTTGAGTAGAGGTTTGGCGTTCTCTGATCATCTCCTTGATGTATTCCTATCAAGTGTGTTGGCTGTCAGTGCGTATGGAGATATGTTCAAAACACCAACCTCTATCTCCTCGAATGCAAGTTGCAGCTTGCGCAACCGCGGATGCAGAGTGAAAGCAAATGTGGGCAGTAGAAGCTTCAAGAATATATCTTTCGCGATGATGTCTATCGCGGCCTTGAATGACATCTTATGGCCGTGTGGAACGACACCGTCGTGCTGGAATGTGACCTCACGCCCGAAACCTGGACAGGTCTATTATTTAGATTACATGAAAAAACAACTGCGGGCCTACCAGCAATCGCGATCATGTACAAAGCAAGCTTCGATGATCAGTTAGTGGCAACTAAGAGGTCCTTCAAGACTGGCGTGCTTACCGGAAGAGTGATTTCGGTAACATCATCCAATACCACCTCTTTCTCGTTCTTGAACACGTTATCTAGCAGGTCCACACCGAGTTTTGATGCCGAGTACCAAACATATTCATGATTGCGCTAGGACGTTTCGTTCACCGACAGGTCAGGTTCAGATGCAGCAAGGCACGCACATCAGAGAAAGCGGATGCGACCATACGGCGATATCGCTTCCAGCTGTCGAATTCTGACGCAACTATATTTGGACCAAATATAAGCAGGACTTTGTAGAGCTTCACAGGCTTAGGGAAGCGCAAGCGTGACGACGCAATTTCCTAAAAGCGGAAAATCAACTCTTGTTTGCGGATTTGAACGAATCAGACATACTTTAATAGCAGCGGCGTCCGACAACCACAAGGAGCTGTATCCCACGGGAAACGCAGAGACCTGAGCGACAATCAGACCCCATCAATTGTGCCACGAAAGCATATTACCATAAAGTATGCATCGCACCCATCGGATGGATAATCTACGAGTGGCTCAGCGCGCGCTTGACATTCGACAGTGTGCAGCACTACCGTTATGCTTCGAAAGCCAAGGGTAATCATAACCCAGAGAAATGCCCGGGATGGGCCTGAAGATCTGACTGAATACCGTCTCATCACCGATAAGAGTACGTGGTCCGATCCATTCTCTGAACGAGCAATGATTAACCAAGATTAGCCAAGGCAAGTAGTTTGTACACTCACTTATTCCTTTTTAATGTCTCGCGGTAGAGTAGATAGACTCTGAGAAACCAGACACAGACAAAGAAAACAAAAAGGAAATATAGCACGGGAGAGGGTGCGACTGAAGAGATGTATTGATCTGAGACCATGATGCTGACCAGAATCGAAGAGATGCTGCAAATAGACGCGACTAGGGGTGAGACGCGAGGCAGAGTACCCTTATGAGTAGGCTCGAAAGGCACTGTATACCTATGCGTTAGCGCGCGCAAACATGATATGGGATATGACAGCCGGATTTGTCACTGGTGAATAGCCTGCCCAGGCATACTGTGATGGTTCGCCAGCTATGACCAAGGGCCGCCCTGTGCATCATGTCTATCAGTCGTGTTTACACCGCCGTAGCGGGCGCTGTCAAGTACAGACGGCTGCCTATCCCGCTGGTAGCAGCAACAGCAATCCTATCGATGCGATCAATCCGCCATGGTATCTCTGAAATTGAAAATACTAAGTTAAGCATGACAGCCCAATGTGGTGACGGACTTGCGCGTCGGATCATACGCGATACTCTGTGATTAAAGGTCAATTTACAGGCCTCTCACATACAGGACATTATCACGCGGGTTGGTGTCGAGAAAATATCACCACCTGAAAAGACAAGAAACATCATAGAGGGTTCGTCCCCTGTGAGATCTGTCCCTGACCGAAGATGTCGGCGACCAAAGCCACATATCTAGCTCTGAGCCGGTTACGTGTAGCGAGATATGATAACGCAGAGAGCCCGCAGCAGCGCTCCGATGAAAGGATCGCAGGAGTGGAAGCCGTGAACATCGCCAAATAGAGAAGCGCTCATGATCTTGTTCAATGTTTGGCATTGTGTGCTGCGTCGGGGCCGCAACGCCCTGGTCCGTGCTTCGCGGGAGGCGTCTAGTCCTTGATTGGGACCCAAGGCGGGAATTCCTCTTCTCTCCGCCGCTCAATCCACGCATGGTGGCAGATGTCCTCCCATGCGACCGCACTATGCGCTGACGCCTTTCTCCTGGGTGCCGCGTTCTTTACCGTGACGCAAGCGCACAGGTATGCATCAGGAATGCGGAACTCTGGCTTCGCGGGCGCCCTTCAAACTTGGGCTCCGTCTACCATCTCTCTGGTGCACCTCCATTACTTGACTCACCATGGACCGCCCACAAGACGTCTACGCTGTCATAGGTGGTAGCGGGCTCATAGGGAGACAAATTGTCGACAAGTTGAAGGCTCGGGGAGACACTGTTTTCGTTCTCGACGTCACCCAGAGGCATGACGACGTGCCATTCCACCACGTCGACGTGACCAATAAGGACGGGCTCCGGGATACCCTCAAGAGAGTGAGCTTAACGTTCTCGCTGCCAGTTGTTCATTTGCAAACCGACGCCGTCTTTCGCCGCACAGTGCGGTGCCACTTGCGTCTTCCACCTTGCCTCTCCTCATGCTGGCACGGCGCGCGCCGAGGTGTTTTGGAAAGTGAATGTCGAAGGCACTAAGAACGTCATTGCAGCCTCCGTGGAGGCTGGAGTCCGCAAGCTGATATACACGAGCTCCTCCGGGGTGGTGTTCAACGGAAAGCCGCTGAATGGCGTTGACGAGACATACCCTTTCCCGGCCAAGCACATGGATGTCTACATGGAGACCAAAGCCAAGGCGGAAGAACTTGTCCTCGCGGCCAATGGCAAGGACGGTCTGTTGACGGTAGCCATCAGACCATGTGGTGTGTTCGGGTCAGTGACGGCTACAGCTACACGAGTATTGCGAGAGTGATCTGACATTATTCACCGGCAGACCTGGTGATAGACAGCTCATGCAGGGCCTTGCGACGGCGTTCGACCGGGGTCAGACGGGGACGCAAATCGGCGACAACACGAACCTGGTTGACTGGACGTATGTCACCAATGTCGCCCAAGGGGAGATTCTGGCCGCGGACAAGGTCGATCTGCCCGTGACCGATCTATCGATGGCGGTGGCAGGCGAGGTGTTTTTCATCACGAACGACGAGCCGTGGCGTTTCTGGGACTTCACGCACAAGATCTGGGACAAGCTGTACGAGCTGTATCCTGGTCATCAGGCGCGTCCGGAGCCACGGGTGATCCCAGCGGGTCTGGGGATGGTCTTTGCAGCGTGCTCAGAGTTCATCGCATGGCTGTTGAAGAAACCACCGATCTTCACGCGGTTCAACGTTATCTTCATGTCTACTCCGAGATTGTACAACGTCTCGAAGGCGAAGAGGGTCCTCGGATATAAGCCTGAGGTCTCGGTCGACGAGGGTATCATGTTGGTGTTGAATGTATGCATCTCTCTATCTTGCCATAGTCGCAATGCTAATTACTTCCGCAGTGGTGGAAGTCCGAATACCCTGACAAGCCGTCGGATGTTGTCAAGGCTTAGCACGAAAATATCTCAAGGGTTTCAGGTCGGTGTTTTCGATTAACATGGGACAATTGGTTGTACTAGCGTTTTGTGCTGTCGTGTATTGCTTGTACTGCTTCCTTGTTGTTGCTCACTATCGCTTTGTCTCAAATGTTTTGTAATTCACTTCCGTGCATTGCTCAATACTCCCTTGCGCTACCTCGTACGGCGCTCAAGCCTCCTGCTAATATTCTTGCTGTACCTTTGAGCACCGCACTACATGGAGGAAAATATACCTATGTGCTTTCGTACGCGTGGATCCGACCCGCGGGCATCACTCACAATATGAACAACGAAGGCAGTGACGGTAACTGTTGCCTACTACGGATCAATGAGAGACAAATTGCGGCTCCACTGCGCTAATCTGTCGTGCTGTTGTCTTGTCTCGGCGAGGTCCATCTAGTCTGTCGCTCGTTATCAACCTGTCGTGGCAGGACTCTACCTACTTTCCAGTACCTTGATCGTCTCAACTTGCCGCCCAGAACATCAGATGTCCTGGAACGCATACTGTGTGCTGTCTGAGCCGCGCTACTGATTATCATAGCTTCCAGACCGCCTCTGAGCGCGCAGATGGCCGATGACTACACTTTATGTGAACCAGAGGTGTAACTTGAGCAAGATGACCAATTCGCCAGCATCTGGGCTAGCGGACGAGGTACGACTCCCTCGGTGATTGAAAGGGAGACCTCTGGCACTCTTCTACCGCGCACTGACTTCACTGCCATTATCACTGCAGAAGTCCTTCCGCAGACCTCGCGATTGAAGGAGTATGACAAGAAGCAAGTAGTAGTAAATTTAGTCTTTAGTTCTAGATTTCTGTTTCCGACCGAATTAGCTTTCACGAGTCTGGCATGCTGGGGTCTGCTATGTGTGGTAACTATCCACGCTCATTACTTATGCGCGGGCTCTTCGCCTGCGAAGGTGCCCCTTCCTGCGTTTGCAATACGCGGCGCGTGGTAAGTTTCCTTGAAAATGTACACGATGCGATAGCCACTAACAATGTAGTGAGGGATGCTGCTCTTGGGAGCAACAGATCTCTTGCTATCCATCACATCGCTCTGCTCGCTGTGGCTTGGATTCGCTGTCCCCATTTTCGGCGTCGTTCCTCGCGTATGGCTGAAGAGCGAAATCTCGACGTTGCTCCGATTGTCCGCCACGTTCGTCGCTGTGTTCAGCGGCGTCTCGTATTGTCTCATATTGGTATGTATGAGTTCGGGGCTGTCGCACCATATTTCAACACACTCACGCTGTCCACAACCAGACGAGGACTAAACTATCACATACGGAATATGTAACGTTCAAGACGTACTATGCCTGGGATGCGGACATGACCTTTGTGTCATATCTGAACACGACCACCGCTATTATGCTCCTTGTGGAGACCATGCTCTTTTGTCGCCTCCTTGCAAGGATTATCCGCAATCGCATATTACACCATATTTTCGGATACCTCATCGTCCCACTCGTCGTCATCAAGTTCGCTAGAGTCGCAAATCTCGCTTGCACCGTCTTCGGCTCAGAGATTGGCCGCCTGGATTCTACAGCTGACTGTGATGAGAGCCGATGAGCATGGTGCGTGCGCGAGACCAATTGCACAGCTGTATACTCATGCCGTGCTCAGGCATGATTTAGGCTATGCGCGAGTCGTCGGCTGTTCACGGCCAGGCAAGAGGCTCACTGTTCTATGCGGGCGTCTCGAACCCGCTCTAGATCCATAGTCCGAGCGTCATCTGCCCATCGCTGGGTCGCAAGTAGGGCGGCGTCGGTATTCTGGGAAGGCCGTATTGGCTAGATGGTTCTTTCCAGGGCGACTCTCACAGCGTCAAGGGCATTTGAATTATCTATGACCAAATCATTCTGATAAAATCGTCATGGACAACAGTGCAATGCGATAAAGTTCGGCTGAGATGCTCGCACCTCATGATAGAAGCATCATCGCGTCCATGTCATTCCTTGTCATCTTATCCCGATCTATGCGATGAATCGCAGGCGATAGCTGTGACCATCTGTCAAGGGGGATCTGTTCCGGATTGGTCTAACTGATTTCTTCGTCAGGATACGAACACACGCGCATTCCGGCGTAGTTCTGCAATATGGCCAAGGTGTAGAAGTCCATGTGGGCCTTTCCTTATATCATAAAGCAGCACACATCGGATGTCTCACCGATGCTGCTGTTCCTGATTTCCTTGCCATACGATAAATCTCCCATGTCAGACTCATTCTCCTTACCTGATGGTATGCTCTATCTGGTTTGCATAGCGTTCACCGTCTTTGTCATTGTGGACATATTTCGGTACTTGCTTGCCTGTCGGCATCTTCCATATTGTGCTTCAAAAAGCGGAGTGCTCGTACTTCCGTGGTTATGCTATGTTGGCGCTCCCAACTTCTTTCTCAAACCATATGACTATATTGCAAGGCTTCACGACCAGTTCGCATTCTCATGGCTACGCTTCAGAGCTCGTAATGTGCGTGTCTCAGCTTGCTTATGTGCTGTCCTGATGGATATCCCTCTTCCTTTAGCATGAGGTCATCGTGATGTTTGGTTCGGAAGCGAGAAAGAAATATTTTAACCTCAGAAGATTCAGCTTCTCCGAAGGATACACATTTCTGGTCTGTTGTCTAATGTAGAGTGATCTCGACTACAGACTCGTATTGAATGATTGATAGCACCCCAATGTCAAGCTCCTTGGGCCGACGCAAGTGCCAGAGGGAAGGCAAGCCCTCCCCTGGTACATCCGTCATTTCATGCGCGCAGATATTCTCGAACAATGTTCGTCGCGACGAGTCCCTCGATATCCGTATACTAATGAATCATTCAGTCTTAACACCCATGCTGTCGGACGTTCAAGCCTTCATGCAGGCTTGAGCACCGAAGGCGTAGTAGACATATATGACGTTGTGGACCGAGTGAGTCCGCTCGAAGCTACTCAATACATCTCTAGTCTAACGTGTCAACATTTAGGTCGTGTTCACCATTGTCAGCAGAGTAGTAGCAAGTAAAGATCTGGCTGCAAACAGCCAAAAGTTACAAAGTGCATGGAGAGCCCTGGCCTGGGTGCACAAGGGGTCGCATCCAGCGTCCTTGATACTTCCTTGGCTACCTACCCCAAGTCGTGTTCGCACAATCATTGGTGGTACAACTCTTCTCCGCATGTCCTCGGCGATCCTTCGAGAACGCAAGTGTAGACAAGCGACGTCTCATATGGATGTTGTACAAGTGTTGGTGGACGAGGACACCGACTCTATGCATGCAGCGATGGTGAGCCCATATACCCTCGAATTACATCAATATATTGACGACGGCTATAGGTCATGATTGGGGTCATCTTCGCGGCCCACACCAACACAAGTCCTGTCCTTTGCTGGCTTCTAATCATGCTCGCTCAGAACCCTTTGTGGCTCTCCAAGATACAGGATGAAATCGATCTATTCTTCCAGCTGCACAACATCAATGGACCACCACAGATGGATTCATTGGCTGGTATGAACTTATCCCTCATTGAGGAGGCGCTGCCCAGTCTCGACCTCTGCCTCCATATCATCATGAACAGTACGAGCATCCGTCGCAATGTCGGGGAAGACCTAGACATTGCGGGAAGGAAAATCCGAGGCAGGGACTTTGTCATGTAGATGCTCGCAGACGTGCACCTCAACAACGACTTCTATACCAATCCTCTTCTATTCAATCCAGGGTGCAAGCATCCCATAGACGCAGAATTTCTGGGGTGGGGGACAGGTGGGCATTCTCTTATTCCCCGTTTGCTCTCTCAATGAGGTTATATGTAAGGATTTACATGCATGCGCTGGTCTCACATCATAACCTCTACACCAAAAGGGTGCAATGTCAAGCTTGGCTTGACATCTGACTGGAGGTATATATGCTAATCATATGCCAACTCATGACATTATACATGTGTAGGAAATCACCCTTGTGCGGGCCAGCGCCTGGCAAAACTGATCATCAAAGTGTTTTGTTTGGTCTTCTTGTACAAGTATGATGTTCAGGTAGTCAAGAAGAACAGGCAGATCCTCTGTGAGGCTGTAAAGCCCACATATCATTTGTTTGAAGTCGCTAGTCATGAGGTCGATGTATATGTGCAGTACAAGCTTCGTGTGGCAGGCACCAATTCTGATACAGCTTGTCGCAACTTAGGGTCAAGCAACAGGGGAAAGCCTAAAAGCTGGGGGCGTTCGACTGGTTCTTACCGAAGCGATGGTGAGCAAGGCTCAAACCTAAGGCTAGGGACAAGTGAATGTATTAGTTAGTAAGGTAAGAAAGGAATACAAATGAGGGCTTACTGACCTAGGGACAAGAGGTCGAAACTGAGGTCCCTAGGGCAGCAGAGGCCGGCTTATATACATGGGGAGATTAGGGCAGGCTGTGCACGTTGGTCCGTGCGCAGCTGGTCTGTGCGCAGCATGCCGACGCGGCCCCGGGGGCCGGTGAGTCAGAGCGGCTGTGTCAGCGGGGCCCGAGCTGTGCCGTGCTAATCTAATCGTACAGTAGATAGTGACGCGTCCATATCAGGCAGGTAGTACAGAGGTTGCGGGTTCGAGCCCGCGAAAAGGAAAAATTAAAAAACGGCTAGATGCCGTACCAAGTCGTGACAAACTCATGACACAGGTACTGCTCGATCTCCTGATTCCAGCGCTCAGTCTGGCCGTCTGTCTGAGGATGAAATGCTGTAGACAGCGCCGGCTCGATCCCTAGTCCCTTGTACACCACATGGAGATATTTCAAAGCGAACTGGGGACCTCGGTCTGATATGACCTTGGCCGGGGCCCCATGATGCTTGAACACATCGCAGATGTACAGGTCTGCCGCACCTTCTGCCGTCAGGGTCTCATGACAGGCTGAGAAGTGGACCTGCTTGGTAAAGCGGTCGGCAGTGACCAGGATCGAGTCGAACCCATCAGACTTCGGCAAGCCAACGATCATATCAGTCGTGATGATCTGCCACGGGCGTTCGGGGATCTTGTTCGGCTTCAGCGGACCCTGGGGCTTGGCTGGGAATGTCTTGGTACGGTTGCACACGTCGCAGGTGCTTACGTACTCATTGACGAATTTGGACATCCCAGGCCACCAGTAATTCCGCGACACGAGCTCCAGGGTTTTGGCACGACCACCATGACCGGCGATCGGCGAGTCGTGGTGGATCTTAACGATATCCCGCCGGAGCTCCGCGTCCTTTGGGACGTACACGCACCCACGGAACAGCAGGAGCCCTTGTTCGGCATTCCATTCCTCAAAACCCTTTTGCAGCCGGGGCGGCCCGAGGTCCTGCACCTTTTCAAGTGCCTCGGCCACCTCCCGATCCTTCTCCGAACATTCCCGAATGCGCTTCAGAAGCGACTGATCGGCCGTCACCGAGGCATGACCGCGTCTGGCGGAGGCGATGCGGAAGCGCTCCGGCTTGAGAACCACCTGATCAGTGTTATCGTCCTCATCGCCGATCTGATGGTCCGATCGTCGCGACAGGGCATCAGCCTTTCCATTCGACGTTCTGGCCTTGTGCGTGATGCGGAAGTCAAAGCGAGCCAGGAAGAGCGACCACCGCGCTTGACGACACGTGAGATGCTGGGAGGTACGCCAGTACTCGAGGTTCTTGTGATCGGTAACGATCTCGAACTGATTGGGCAACCCTTCGAGGTAGTGGCGCCAATCGTCTAGCGCCTCAATGATGGCAAGCATCTCCTTGTCGTAGATCTCGTAGTTCCGCTGGGCCGGATCCATCGCATGGGATCTGAAGGCGATGGGATGCCATTTGCCGTCATTCTGCTTCTGCATCAACACGCTACCAGTGGCGTAGCCCGAGGCGTCAACCTCGATGCGCGTCTCCCGATTAGGATCGTACAGTGCTAGGACTGGAGTCGTCGCGAAGAGCCGCTTGAGCTCGTCGAAGGCGTGCTGCTCCTCTTCGCCCCAATGCCATGGGTCGTTCCCTGTGAGCCGGTCGAGTGGTCGCGAGATCTTAGCGAAGTCCTTAATGAAGCGGCGGTAGAAGTTGGAGAACCCCCAGAACTTCTGGACATCCTTTTTGTTCCGGGGTACCGGCCACTCATTAATTCCTTTTAGCTTCGTGGGATCCATCGCTACCTCATCGCCACCGAACACATAGCCGATGTAGTCGACCTTGGAAACATCCCACTCGCACTTCTCAGGCTTCAGGAACAGATCGTTGTCCTGAAGGCGGCGCAGCACCTCATGTGTGACCTTTACATGTTCCTCCTTGTTGGTGGAGAAGATGAGGATGTCATCCAGGTACACGAGGATCTTGCCACCGACGATGAGATCATGGAAGATCTCGTTCATCATTGCCTGGAAAGTGGCGGGGGAGTTGGTGAGGCCGAAGAACATCACCAGGGGTTCGTACAACCCTCGGTTAGTCACAAACGCCGCCTTCCATTCGTCACCGGCTTTGATCCGGACGTTGTTGTATCCCCATCGGACATCGAACTTGGTGAAGAGTGTGGCGCCGCGGAGCTTATCTACCATCTCGGCGATCAGTGGCAAAGGGTAGCGGTTTTTGACCGTGATTGCGTTTAATTGGCGGTAGTCCTGCACGGGTCGAAGTGTCCCTTCCTTCTTTTTGATGAAGAAGAAAGGCGATGAAATGGGCGACTTCGACTCCCGTATATAACCTTTCGCTAACTGCTCCTTCAGGAACTTGTCAAGTTCCTCCTGTTCATTATTCGACAGGGGGTACACTTTCGAGTGGAACGTCGAGTAGCCGGGCACGAGTTCGATTGCGTGATCGTAAGGCTTCCTTTCGGGTAGCCGTTCTGATGCTTCCTTGGAGAAGACATTCAGGAACTCGTGGTACTGTTTAGGTAGCGACTCCTCGGCGGTCTTAACGACCTTCTTCTTGATTTCCTCCTCAGCGAACAGCTGGGAGTACATATGCCCTGCCGCGATGAACAGCTGAGGAGCGCCGGGAAGCGTGATACCTTGCTCCCAGGCTTCGATCAAATCGGCCTCATCCCACTTTACTTCCACCGGATCTTCTTTGGGTTCGAAGTCCGGGAGCACCTTGCTCCGGCAGGCGCCTATGACCGACCATTTGGACTTTGGCAAACGCCTGCACACCGTGGGCCTGACCCCCGTGTCATGCGCAGTTGCTGCTTGCTCCATCCGGCCGGTCTTGCTGGCACTGCACATTTCAGGGCATCGTGATAGCTTTAGGGAGCCTGACTCCCAATCAATTTCAGGGTTGTGCTTGCGTAGCCAATCCAACCCAACAATCACATTTTCGGACCAATGTCCGTGACCGTAAATACTGTTTTTTCGACGTGATCTCCTATTTGCATCTGTAGCACGGCTACCTCCGAGATGCTTCCATCTTTATTGAGCGTTCCATCGATATTGTAAAGCGGAATTGGTTCTTTCAGTTTCTGTATTGCTTGTTGATAAACTTCGTAGTGGCTCCGCTGTCCACCATAGCGATTATGCCCTTGTGCTGTCTTTTTTCTTGGAGGCGCACCGGGATGTAGAAATGCTGGGACCCGTGGTCCAACTCGTACACATTTGCGGTCGCCAATACATTGTACAGATTATTACTACGCGGCCCGACGCGTGCGGCACGAAGCGCGGACCGGATCAAAAAGACTCCTCCTTCATTGCCCAATAGTGCTCGAGCTCCTCGTGCATCGACTTCATCTGTGCTATCAAGTCCGCCAGCTCAGAACTATCCGATTTCGCTGAAGCAGCGCTTGTACTCGCCGAGGATGAAGTGACGGGGGCACTTGTCACCACCTGGGTGGAACCCGAGGCAACTGTAGCCCGCGTGTCAGCGCGTTTTGTGTAAGGTTTATCCTTACAATTAGGGCACTCAAAACGACGGTACCCTTGCTTCCCGCAGCCAAAGCATGTGCCGGGGAAGTCTCCTTTTCCGACGGCCGCATTGATGCTGGCCGAAGCTGCGTGTGTCGAGGGTGCACCACCACGTGCCCCACCGTGTCCTCGACCTCGTGTCGAGAAGAAGTTGTTCAACTCAGGCCGTCGGGCCCGGCTGACATTGAGGATTTGCTCGACCTCGGTGGCGTGCTTGTCAGCTGCTTGCCACGTGGTGAAGGTTTCGAGCTCGATCTTGCGATAGACGCGGGAGGGGATGCCGCTCAGGTACTTGTTGCGTAGTTCCAGGTCCCCATACCCGGAATGGTCCGCCGGACCCTTGAACAGCACCGAGAATTCTGTGGCAGTGTCGCGACTTAAGGTCAAGCGACAGGGAACACCTGAAGAGCTGGGGGCGTTCGACTAGATCTCACCGAAGCAATGGTGAGCAATGCTCAAACCTAAGGCTAGGGACAAGAAAATGTATTAGTTAGTAATGTAAGAAAGGATACAAATGGAGGCTTACTGACCTAGGGACAAGAGGTCGAAACTGAGGTCCCTAGGGCAGCAGAGGCCGGTTTATATACATGGGGAGATTAGGGCAGGCTGTGCGCGTTGGTCCGTGCGCAGCTGGTCCGTGCACAGCATGCCGACACGGCCCCGGGGGCCGGTGAGTCAGAGCGGCTGTGTCAGCGGAGCCCGAGCTGTGCCGTGCACTGCCGCCCCATCTAATCTAATCGTACAGTAGATAGCGACGTGTCCATATCAGGCAGGTAGTACAGAGGTTGCGGGTTCAAGCCCGCAAAAAGGAAAAAATTAAAAAACGGCTAGGCGCCGTACCAAGTCGTGACATTACCCCCTCCTCAACGGCGCATGACCTCATGCGAGGCACCCTTGCCCATCTCCCACCCGGAGCGGCATCGTGCTTCAGTCCTCGGTCTGATATGACCTTGGCCGGGGCCCCATGATGCTTGAACACATCGCGGATGTACAGGTCTGCCGCACCTTCTGCCGTCAGGGTCTCATGACAGGCTGAGAAGTGGACCTGCTTTGTGAAGCGGTTGGCGGTGACCAGGATTGAGTCGAATCCATCAGACTTCGGCAAGCCGACGATCATATCGGTCATGATGATCTGCCACGGGCGCTCAGGGATCTCGTTCGGCTTCAGCGGACCCTGGGGCTTGGCTGGGAATGTCTTGGTACGGTTGCACACGTCGCAGGTGCTTACGTACTCATTGACAAACTTGGACATTCCAGGCCACCAGTAATTCCGCGACACGAGCTCCAGGGTTTTGGCACGACCACCATGACCTGCGATCGGCGAGTCGTGGTGGATTTTGACTATATCCCGCCGGAGCTCCGCGTCCTTTGGGACGTACACACATCCGCGGAACAGCAGGAGCCCTTGTTCGGCATTCCATTCCTCAAAACCCTTTTGCAGCCGGGGCGGCCCGAGGTCCTGCACCTTTTCAAGTGCCTCGGCCACCTCCCGATCCTTCTCCGAACATTCCCGAATGCGCTTCAGAAGCGACTGATCGGCCGTCACCGAGGCATGACCGCGTCTGGCGGAGGCGATGCGGAAGCGCTCCGGCTTGAGAACCACCTGATCGGTGTTATCGTCCTCATCGCCGATCTGATGGTCTGATCGTCGCGACAGGGCATCAGCCTTTCCATTCGACGTTCCGGCCTTGTGCGTGATGCGGAAGTCAAAGCGAGCCAGGAATAGCGACCATCGCGCTTGACGACGCATGAGGTGCTGGGAGGTACGCCAGTACTCGAGGTTCTTATGATCGGTTACGATCTCGAACTGATTGGGTAACCCCTCGAGATAGTGGCGCCAATCGTCTAGTGCCTCAATGATCGCGAGCATCTCCTTATCGTAGATCTCGTAGTTACGCTGGGCAGGGTCCATAGCGTGAGATCTGAAGGCGATAGGGTGCCATTTGCCGTCGTCCTGTTTCTGCATCAACACACCGCCAGTGGCGTAGCCCGAGGCATCAACCTCAATGCGCATTTCTCGGTTAGGATCGTATAGCGCTAGGACTGGAGTCGTCGCGAAGAGCCGCTTGAGCTCGTCGAAGGCGTGCTGCTCCTCTTCGCCCCAATGCCATGGGTCGTTCCCTGTGAGCCAGTCGAGTGGTTGCGAGATCTTAGCGAAGTCCTTAATGAAGCAGCGGTAGAAGTTGGAGAACCCCCGGAACTTCTGGACATCTTTTTTGTTCTGGGGCACCGGCCACTCATTGATTCCTTTCAGCTTCGCGGGATCCATCGCTACCTCATTGCCACCGAACACATAGCCGACGTAGTTGACCTTGGGAACGTCCCACTCACACTTCTCAGGCTTCAGGAACAGATCGTTGTCCTGAAGGCGACGCAGAACCTCGCGTGTGACCTTTTCATGCTCCTCTTTGTTGGTGGAGAAGATGAGTATGTCATCTAGGTACACAAGGATCTTGCCGCCGACGATGAGATCGTGGAAGATCTCGTTCATCATGGCCTGGAAGGTCGCGGGGGAATTAGTGAGGCCAAAGAACATCACCAGGGGTTCGTACAGTCCCCGGTTAGTTACGAAGGCCACCTTCCACTCGTCACCGGCTTTGATCCGGACGTTGTTGTATCCCCATCGGACATCGAACTTCGTAAAGAGCGTAGCGCCATGGAGCTTGTCCACCATTTCGGCGATCAACGGCAAGGAATAACGATTCTTGACCATGATCGCGTTTAACCAGCGATAGTCCTGTACGGGTCGAAGTGTCCCTTCCTTCTTTTTGATGAAGAAGAAGGGGGACGAGATAGGCGACTTCGATTCCCGTATGTAACCCTTCACTAGTTGCTCCTTTAGGAATTTATCGAGTTCCTCCTGCTCGTTGTTCGACAATGGGTACACCTTCGAATGGAATGTTGAGTAACCGGGCATGAGTTTGATCGCATGATCATACGGCTTCCTTTCGGGTAACCGTTCTGATGCTTCCTTGGAGAAGACATTCAGGAACTTGTGGTACTGTTTAGGTACCGACTCTTCGGCAGTCTTAACGACCTTCTTTTTGATCTCCTCCTCAGCGAACAGCTGGGAGTACGTATGTCCTACTGAGACGAACAGCTGAGGAGCACCGGGAAGCGTGATGCCTTGCTGCCAGGCTTCGATCAAATCGACCTCATCCCACTCTACCTCCACCGGATCTTCCTCGGGTTCAAAGTCCGGGAGTACCTTACTCCGGCAAGCGCCTATAACCGACCGTTTGGATTTCGGCGAACGCCTGCGCGCCGTGGGCCTGTCCCCCATATCACGCGCAGTCGTTGCTTGCTCCATTCGGCCAGTCCTCCTGGCACTGCACGTTTCAGGGCATCGCGACAATTTGAGAGAGCCCTTCTCCCAATCTATTTCGGGGTTGTGCTCGTGTAGCCAATCCAACCCAACGATCACATCTTCCGGACCGATGTCCGTGACAGTGAACACCATCTTCTCGACGTGCTCTCCTATATGCATCTGTAGCACTGCTACCTCCGAGATGCTTCCGTCCTTGTTCAGGGTGCCGTCAATGTTGTACAGCGGAATTGGTTCCTTTAACTTCCGTGTTTGCACCTTATTCTCTTCAATGAATCGTTTGTTGATAAACTTCGTGGTGGCTCCGCTGTCCACCATAGCAATTATGTCTTTATGCCGTCTTTTTCCTTGAAGTCGTACTGGGATGTGAAAATGTTGGGACCCCTGGTCCAATTCGTACACCATTGCAGTAGACAATACATTATACTTGTTACAAGATGATACTCGCGGCCCGACGCGTGCGGCACGAAGCGCGGACCGGATCAAAAACCCTCCTCCTTCATCGCCCAATAGTGCTCGAGCTCCTCGCGCATCGACTTCACCTGTGCCATTAAGTCCGCCAGCTCCGATTGCTCGGATTTCGCTGAAGCGGCACTTATACTTGCCAAGGGTGATGTCGTGACGGGGGCGCTTGTCGCCGCCTGGGTGGATCCCGAGGCAACCGTAGCCCGCGCGTCGGCGCGTTTTGTGTAAGGCTTGTCCTTACAATTGGGGCACTCGAAGCGTCAGTACCCTTGCTTCCCACAGCCGAAGCATGTGCCGGGGAAGTTTCCTTTTCCGACGGCTGCGTTGATGCTGGCCGAAGCTGCGTGTGACGAGGGTGCACCACCACGTGCCCCTCCGCGTCCTCGACCTCGTGCCGAGAAGAAGCTGTTTAGCTCGGGCCGACGAGCCCGGCTAACATCGAGGATTTGCTCGACCTCGGTGGCGCGCTTGTCAGCGGCTTGCCACGTGGCGAAGGTTTCGAGCTCGAGTTTGCGATAGACGCGGGAAGGGATGCCGCTCAGGTACTTGTCGCGTAGTTCCAGGTTCCTATACCCGGAACGGTCCGCCGGACCCTTGAACAGCGCAGAGAATTCTGCGGCGGTGCGCTTCTCGCGCATGGTTTTGTCGGAGCAGAGCTTGGTAAGCTCCACCTGTGCCGCAGCGGCGTCGTCGAGATTGCCAAAACGGGCCTTGAATGCCTGAAGGAAGGCTTTTTCGTCGACGAAGGGGGTTGTCGCTCCCTGGATCCCGATTTGGACGGAGGCAAGCTGGGAGAAGAT